TGTTTTTTTTGTAGTTACGCGAACTATGTCGTTGGATGCGTCGATATCTGTAACAATGGAATTTAGTTTTATCGGCAGATTATATTTTGAAGCGATATGTTGAACTAACGTGCCCAAACCGTCAGTAATGGTCAAATCTGATTCGGGCAGATCACCTTCACCTTTGCCGTATAGTTTACTGGATAACTGTGTTATATTCGAACCTTCATGACATTCAATATAACTCAAAGTCATTTTTACTAGTGATTTCAATCGTAAGTCGGAGATTGCTTCTAATTCAGTATTAACTAAGTCAAATAGGGATATGTCAGATGTTTCGTTAGAATATCCTTCAGTGGCCGATAATAAATCGTCCGCATACTTGGTTGCTTTATTGATCAATTCGTCTTCAATTATAATTCCTTGTTGGTCGTATATGACCATTGTTGAATTGTCATAAGAATCAGATTCGACGAAATCTTTCTCAGATGGAACATAGAATTGTCGTAGGAAATTATTTTCTTCATGATGACAGATATAATGCGCACCATGGTCGAGCGGAATATCCTTGCCGAATGTTGTTATATCAGTATATGCTCTTCCACCAATTCGATTTCGCGCTTCTAAAATCAAATAATTGATACTTTTTGATGTCACCTTTTCGAACTCGATCCCAGCGCCAATACCGGCTGAACCACATCCGATAATAATCACATCGTAAATATCCATAGTTCTATCGCAATAGAAAACGAAACTTTCTCACTGACAAAATGAAGCAAAAGAAACTGACTGATATCTTGCTTTCACCACGTTGTTAATATTATTGTCTTATCATTTTATATTCTCTACAGAGTAACTTGAATGTAAAATGTAAGCTCTCACGAACCTGTTTTAGCCTACATTCTGTTTGAAAATGGTGTGTATGAGTAATATTAGACTTTGTCGTTTTGTTTTTCATTTTCTGCTGTCGATGATTGATGATGACGTGGATACACGACGAAATTTGTTTACATACCGAATGTTTGATTTAAACAGCGTTACGACGAGAATGACGCACGTGTTTGAAATTACCTTTCACTATTCATCTACTTTTTCCTGAATACAATGCGTGGCATCCTTCATCTATTTCTGATCGTTACAACCTTCGCAGTTGTTGTTCAATGTCAAGGGGGTGGCGGTAGCCGTAGCTCTCGAAGTAGTAGCTTTTCTCGAAGTCGAAGAAGTAGAATTTTACTGTTTGATTTTGTCATCTCCGATGTATACTTATGTTTCATAGGTATCAGTTCTTATCGTTCATCAAGCCCATGCACAGGTGATGCATGTCCTCCTGAACACAGTCCTACGATTGGATACGCAATTATAGGCACTGCAGGTATCGTCTTTTTATTCATTGTCTATAAAGCAATAACCAGTGGCACACCATCACAATCAAATACCGCTTATGTAAACTTGCCATCGACCGATAACCAAAATGTCGATGGAAATCCATTTGAATCAGGACTTTGGTCGAGCCGGTATTATCAATACAAATCATGGCATGGACCTTTTCATTTTAGACTTTTATTCGATCCCGAAGTACCAAGAGTAACGGGCAATGGAATTGATGATGTCGGAGAGTATGAAATCGAAGGGATGTATTCGAGAAAAACCAATCGAATGGGTTTAATAAAGAACTATCGAGAAGGCACGGGTGATCGAACGCAAAATCTCGGACACAATGTGACGATCCAAGTGGCTTGGAACGAAACTCAGCAGCAGTTTGAGGGAAAGTGGTTCGTAAAAACAAGCAAATACAGCGGTGAAGATAAATTTGAACTGAAATCTGAACAAAATATTAAAATAAAAGATTATTAAAATTTTTAACGACAGTATTACTGTTCTTCCTAATTTGATTTGATGGTCCGCTTCATTGAGCTTAAGACTACTCCTTCTTAAGTGAATAGCTTTTTCGTTTCCCTTAGAAGATTTCCTAACGAATTCTGAATTTCGTTTGATTCGTTTCCATCGGACATGCCAGATTATCGATAAAGTCAAAGTGTATCAATTCCCTATATAACGAGGACTAACCAAACTATCATGAATGTTTCGTAAATAACTACTGAATACAAGTGCTCAGTATCATTGATTTCATGCATGATATGGTCCGTAGCTATTTGCAGTTACTGTATCAGCTCACATTCTTTAACGATATGTTACACGTTAGAAATTCAACAATTGAATGTTTAGTTGCTTGTGTCTTTGATAATATAGACTACAGTACTTCTTCACCTTCTTGTATTAGTCGAAAATGTCAAACCAATATCATGAGCCTTGAAAACAATATACTTGTCGCCAGACACACTTCGAATCAGATATATAATATTTGTCTGATGGAATCGATCACCGTTGCCTTTTTAATTAGTAATATTTGAAACGAAAGTAAGTATATAGGTATATTATCAATCGAAGATTTCAAACAACAAGCTGTGAATGCACATAATGAATATCGAAACAAACATTGTGTATATCATCTTCAATTAGATCCACAATTAAACAACATAGCACAGAAATATGCAGAAAAACCAGCTGCCCGTGCTACAATGGCCTACAGTGGAAATAAATTTAAAGGACAGCAAATGGATGGGCGAAAATCTTTACATCGTTGGCCCATGGGATTCTGTCTTGAGTATCATAGGTAATTCGTGACACTTTTTTTGTCAACTCAGTGATTGAACCTTCTTGTTTTTACTCACAAAGGTTATGCACCCGTTACATATTGGTACAATGAGATTTTTAAGTACAATTGGAACAGCTGCACTGTCTACATTTGGTAAAGGCTAATCTTATAAATATTTATTTTTATAGTGGAAAAAATCGAATAAAAATCTTTGCTGATTCATTCATTGCTTTTCAAAACAAGTGCATTATCAGAAAGCGTGCATATGATTATATTTCACAAAACTACCTGTGATAGTGATTGTAACCACAAGTTTGGTAACTCCACGCATTAATTATCAATTCATTTTCCATTGACAAAAGCAGAATTGAAATGAAAAACGAGCGCATGTATTATTCAACAAAACGGTACGATCCTTTCCTTCACACATGTATGAAGGATGTGAGAGCGAATATCCAATGAAAATAGTTCTGAAAAATTGATTCTCTATCGATAAACACGATCCATAATTAACGTAATATTTCAAATAAAGAAATTGAGTGAATTTTCAAAGTTCTCCGCTGTTCATGGCATAACTAGTCAGATGATGTGTTGCTTGCACAAAATCGTGTCGGACACCATTTTATACCTCGTGCAATTACTTGAAAATGTTAAACTGACCCACGAGATCTGAAAACAACGCACTTTTCTGTCACACCCATCTTATCGAATGATACGCGATTTCAATCAAGTAAATATATAACAGCCATTCGATAAAGTCCACTGACTTTGATTTTTCTCAAATGAAAAATATCGATGTATGTCAAATATCATATCTTCTACTCATCTTTTAACTATAAGAATAATTCGAAATGAAAGTATAGGTATATATGTATATCATCGATTATCGCGATGCATTTCTTGTCTTAAATAGTCACGCTTAGTGGTAGGCATCAGTAAGATGCTTAATTTGATATTTTTTTAAGATAAGAAGCAAGCCTGTGTCTTTTACCGTCACTCACAAATATTTCGGTGATCATTCAATTACTGTTATTCCCTCGACTGAAAGGAGGGTCATATAAAAAAAAAGTTTGTCTGTCTGTCTGTCTGTCTGTCTGTCTGTCTGTCTGTGTCAGGGTCAAAGGTCAAAAAAACATTTTTTTTGAAAATGCTCAAAACTTCATAAAATAAAACATCGTTTGGGAGGGATCCTGAGGCTCGAGGTAGGCTGGATGACGGGTGAAGGGGCAGGAACGTGACAGAAATGAAGAAAACATTTCAACCGCGCCTGAGAGGAGGGCTACATAGAAGAGTTGATTACGAAAAAGTAAAAACACACTGGGTTGACTGTCGCATACTAAAGGCCAGTAATCCAAAAATACATTCATTCAGAAGTTACATACTGGAGAGCAATCTTAAATGCTGAGCTTCCATATATTGAGAGTTTTTGTAGGCCTTTAAGCCTTTTAATTAAGGAGATAACCTCAAATGTTCGGATGAGGATAATCTTATCCATGAGATGCTGATGGGATGCGAATTAGTTTTCGATACTTTTTAGTAGCACACGGGTAATTATATGATAGATAGGGACAGCTTTGGAGCGGCGAATTGTGAGTGGCGCCCCTGTGGGGCGCCGACGAACAATGAGCTGCGCCTGGTAATCTAGCTAGTTACAAAAGTATCAACAATCCGACTCGTTCGAATGCCAAATATATACCGAGTCTCATTTGGTTTTATTGAAATTATCTTTCATTTAGAAAAAGGAGGACATGTTTAAAAGTGCGAATCCATAATAGTCATTTATAGCGAACTTCTGCTTTCTGTGAAGAGTAATTGTCAGTCAGGAATATCGAATAATTAAAAGGAACACAAGTGGTATTTTGGTTCTTTTGAAGACTGTGAGACGAACGAAGATCAGTTTCTAGGGACCCCTTCAAAAGTTATATTTCTGTCTTTTTTTGCATAAAACGCATATAAGACTATTGTATTTTCAGTCAATGGTTCAGTCGAGGGCATAGCGAGTCTGCCTCGACGAGCGTTACTAGTATATTTATGTTGACTGTGGTTTTATTCGAATACGTGGTAAATGATTGACGACTGACAACCTTATCTTATGACATAGATATTTATTGAAATCGAGTAATTTGTTGTTGGATTTGATTTTCATGGTACGGGTGTGAATTCAAAGAATATTTTCAAATATATTTCGAGTTATTTCGGTTCAGTACATACGAGAGACATCTATACCATAATCTTTGTTCTTATATCTTTATAGAAAGAACAATTGCATTTCATATTCAACAAAAATTTGATTTTTATCTTTCTCCTCACTTCATACTCACCGTGTCAATTAAACACTAAAAGTTGAAATAACGTCCATGGTTGATTGCACAGTCCTTTCACTTCCTATAAAACATGTGCGAGTAACGATAGTTATCTCTATTTTTATACGTACAAGTTAACAAAACGTTAAAATGAAGAAAATTGAAGACAAATTTTTCGAAGAATCACAACGTTCATTAATTTCATTAGATCGGCGAATATTAACTGAACAACGTGAAATCAATAATAATTTTACTCAATTATGTTTGCAATCAACAAAACTCGATCTGAAGGAATCTAACGATTCGGATATTTCTATTCTTTGGTTAACTAATGCTGATCGAGAAATCGATAATATGAATGTAAAAATCTTTCATTCTAATAATCATCTTATCGATTTTCTAAGTGAAATTGAACTATCAAATGTATTTTTAATCGTTGATCATGAATTTCTCTCCAATATTTTATCATTCTTAGATGATTTTAAACAAATTATATTTATTTATATCTTCATAAATGAAAATATTCTTAATAACTCTGTAGCAACAGAATCAAAACGATCAATTCGACAAATTTCCAATAATCAAACTGAATTATTTCATTCAGTTCGCGAAGATATTGAAATCTGTCGAAAAGATTCAATATCCTCAACAATATTTGATCTTTTAACAAACGAAGAATCATCAACTCAAAGTCAAAATCGTTCATTTATTTGGTTTTATTTATTAATTGAAAATCTCTTCAATTTCAATGTTAATAATGATAAATCGAAAGATGATTTAATAGAATACTGTCGTCAACAATATCCGCCAACTGATTATATAGAACAAAACTTGATAACACAATTTGAAAAAGAATATTCATCAGAAAATGCAATTCGATGGTATACACGTGAAACATTTCTCTATCGACAATTAAATAAAGCATTTCGAATGCGTGATATTGATGCAATATTTCATTTTCGTTATTTTCTTTTCGATTTTCAAAAACAACTTCAAGAACATTACAAAGAAAATCATTCGATTCAAATCGTCTATCGTGGTCAATCAATATCTCAATTAGAATTAATTAAATTAAAGAATTCAGTTGGTAAATGTATATCATTCAATACATATCTATCAGCAACATTAGATAAAAGAGTGGCTTTGATGTATGTAGTCGGATTATCATCGATTTTCTTTGAAATTGATGTTAGTTTTACTTCGAAACTCAAAGATAAAAGATTTCGTCCGGTTTATGTTGAAGATCAAAGTCAATTTCCTGAAGAATTAGAAGTCATTTTTCCAATTTGTTCAACTTTTTTTGTTGATTCAATTGAAATGATAGATAATCAATGGAATATTAGATTAAAATTAACTGATACAAATGATTATTCACAAATAATTGATTCAATAGAAACTACGTCTTTTGAAAACCTTCCATCGAAATTGAAGTTTCCTAATTTATTTCTATTATTAAGTGATAATGAAAAAGCTGAACGATATACTAATATGTTGATAGAAGATCATCAATCACCTTTGGATCCTTCAAGTTTAGGATTGATATATACATTTCTTGGTCAAATTCAATTCGAAAAATGTGATTATCAATCAGCTTTATCTTATTTGAAAAAAGCCTTAGATCATATTGATACAAACAACAATCCTTATTGTGCAACAATATATATTCATCTAAGTTATTTATATCGAGAGGAAAGGAGTTATAATATTGCTTTAGATTATTTAAATCAAGCTTTAAAATATAAGAATGAAATTGATTTAATCAAATTAACAGATTTATATAATGCATTTGGAAGTGTTTACAAAGAAATGAAAGAATATGATAATGCTCTTTATTATGTTAATCAATCACTAGAAATTTGTCAATCAAATTTCGTAATTTATCCACGTTCTTTCGTAGCATTTCTTCTTCTTGGATTAATTTATATGGATAAACATGAATATACGAAAGCTATACAATATTTACAAGATTCATTAAATCTTTCATTGAAAATTCTACCAAAAACTAATCAAGAATTGATAATTTTATATACAGCTATCGGTTTTAGTTATTCTCAATCAGAAAATTCTTCATTAGCTTTAATTTATCTTCAAAAAGCTTACAATTTATTAGAAATTAATAAAAAAAATCAAAAACTTAATCCACAAATATATATTTATATTTGTTATACATTTGGATTATTTTATGATATGAATCTGGATGGAACCAATACCTTCCGTTACATATATGAAGCTTATCAATTTTATAAAGAATATGAAATAACTATATCAAGAACAACTCCTATGGTACAAGATATCTATCATATGTTAGGAAATCTTTATCATAATCGTTGTGATTATACTTTAGCATTAGAATTTCTTTCCGATACTTTGAAATATTCAATGGATAGAAATACGCAAATATTAATTATGACTAGAATTGGACAAGTTTATTTAGATCAAGATGATGAAAAAATGGCTTTGCAATATTTGAATCAATCATTTGAACTTATTTCCAAAACAAATCAATCAGATATTGAGGATAATACAATGTTTTGGTTTTATTCACGCATGTCGAAGTTATATGAACACAAAAAGAATTTTGAAAAAGCGATTGATTTTATTAAAAAAGCATTTGAATTACAATTCAATGCAACAAATAAAAATTCCGTTAGCCTTGTTGATTGTTTTAGACAAGTAGTTGCGGTTTGTCATGGACGAGATAATAATTATATTGAAGAAATTATTAAGAATTTACAAATAGAAGATTTCTCAATTAATTCGAAACTTCATTTTTATCGAACTATTGCACATTATTACTTAGGGGTATTACTAATTTATGCTAACAGCACAAACAGCCAACTTTTCGAGATCGCATGTCGATCACTGCTACAAACACCCACAACTCGAGGAGTTATGAACACAAACACCCGCAAACACCCACTTTTCTTAACTTTTAAGAAAGATAAACCCCTGACAAACTCGAAAAAACCACTTTCCTCAACACTAACACCCAATAGCTCTCTTGTAGTCCCGACAAACACCCAAACTGGTGCATACAAACACCCACAGAATTGCATAATCTACATTTTGACTTAATTAGATGCCATCTTTCTATACACTTTTTACCATAAAAGCCGTCGGAAATGTATAAAACCAGTTAAAAAGTGCTTTTAGAAGCCTACCAACACCCAAGATCTCTCTTATAGTTTAGACAAACACTCGAACTTGCCTTTGTAAACACTCATATAACTGCATTATCTACGTTTTGGCCCAAATAAGTACGATTCCTAAATATTTTTAAAATAAATTCTCCCTCCACAACTCCTTGTCATATAATAAAACCATTAAAATAAGCAAAATCCAGAGGAAAATATACATAAGTATTTGATAATATTGAGTTAGTGCATAAAGAGAGCTTAACACGTCTAAACTAGATTTCCTAACATCATAGAAACAATATAAATCACACTTTAGTATATAGCTCACTATACTTAACCGTGTATTTAATCGTATAAATAGCTAAACATGCTGAAAAATATCTAAAAAATTTATATAAAATTATACTAATATTTAACTATGAATCAATTCTTATTGCCCACGATTCTTAAAATACACATATTTTTCTTAATATGAACTAGAATAATACCTAGCGTACTTTTATATTTAGTTTTTCCTTAAAAATAGTTAGGTCTAAATGAGACATTCATTTATATTCAGCATTAACGACTCGATGGAATAATCACAGATCATATACGTCAATTTATTGTTCTTTCATTTTATCGAAGTCATAAACTATGATGAGCTAGAAGTGAATTCAAAACCCAAGATACCTAGCGGTTATGTCAAAGTCTTCTTGTATATATCAATTTTTTTATTGATGGAAAATGACAAAAGCAAAATATAGTGTATATGTTGCAATTATCGCAAAAAATTGGTTAATTAGTGATTTGTTCTTGTTTCTTGTTGTTTGTTTATTCGTTTGTTAATTATAGCTGACTTTTGATAGAGCTTCGACGAAATCTCGGTTGCAAATTTCTAGAAGTTCTCCTTCTTCTTCGCTAATATCGAATTTATCTCGTTCTAAAATGTCGCGTCGCATTGCAGCATGAACTGCTAATCGAACAATTTGTTCGATATGTGCACCCGTCATTCCCTCGGTACGTGAGATAATATTGTTGATATCAACATCACCGTTAAGTGCTCCATTACGGATGAGTGATTCTGTGTAAATATTAAAGATAGCAGAACGTGCTGTTTTATTCGGTAATTCAATTTTAATAACTTTCTCTATGCGCCCGGGACGAAGAAGTGCTGGATCAATTGCTTCGATAAGATTTGTAGTGCCAATGATTAGTATGTTGTCGAGGCAAAGCATACCATCAATCTCTGCCAAAAGTTGAGTAGTAACGCTATCATGTACGGTATCCCGTACTGAACAATTTTGAGTTCGATTTTTACCTACAGCATCAATTTCGTCAAAAATAATCATGTGTAATTTACTGTTCGAACCGAACGTTTGTTGATCATTATGAGCATCCTCAAATAAATTTCGGATATTCTGTTCCGATTCGCCCAACATACATGTAAAGATTTCTGGACCACGTATAATCTTTGGTTTCACGTTTAATATATCGCACGTGGTTCGAGCGATCAAAGTTTTTCCAACACCAGGAGGTCCATATAGAAGAATACCTCGTGTTTTGCTAATATCCGCTTTGGAAACAAAACTTTGAGGATAAAGTCGAGGAAGCAAAACATCACCAAATATTTCTTCAAATACACGTTCCATTCCACCAACTTTGTTCTTTAAAGCAAAGCGTTCATTAATGATGTCGAATAGCGTACGAGATGGTTGCTTCGCTGAGCAAAATCGTACTGAGTAAGTATGGTATTTTTTTAGATGATATTTTTTACGTTGATAACGATTCAATGCCATTGCCCCTTTAGTAACGGTTGGATGAGAAATAATTTCAAATTCGGTAGCGACATATTTATTCAAAATTTCCACTCGATTTGTATCCAAGAGTATGTCATCTTCTGGATGAAACGCTACATAATTTGTAACATTTTCATTGTAATACAATTTTGTTTCTATCACTACTCGTTTGGACACTGGATCAGCCATGATAAGAACGTACGTTTATTTGGATTGAATCAGTAAAAAGAATCCACATTTACTTTTCATATATAACGAAGAGTCTTTATCGGTCACGTTCACATGTATGAAAAGTGAAAAAATAAAAGAGTGAGAGAAAAAAACATTGTTTCTTCATTACAGTGGTAGTTACAATAATGTTAACGAAGATGGTGGTAAACAAAGAACAGGCTTCTAGAACAAATTGTGCGATGTGTAATCTACGATCAAACTTTATATTATGCGACGTGTGCAGTTCTGAATCTCGTGAAGATTTTTATCTATTATTATTAACAAGACTCAAGGACGAATGTGATGATTATTTTGGTTTTGAAGCAAAATGTATCGATATGCAGGATGTAATAGATCACTATACTGTTCCGGATGATCCAGTTATAATATTCGATCAAAATGTTCATCAAATCGATAATAATTCTAAGCAACTTCTTGAAAATTATACTGGTATCTCTGTTGATGAAGCGGTTCCTATTATGGTGGCGGGGGATGGTGATTGTTTGTTCCATTCATTAAGAACGCTTTATCCAACAATGAGCATAGACGAACTTCGTGCTCGAGCTATCGTTGAATTATGTAGTAATAAATACTATTACGAAACTGTAAAATCTGAAATGAATTTGGAACTCGTTGATGATGAGTCTGTTCAAAGTCATGTTTTAAGAATTGCCAATAGCCAAGAATATAGCGGTGTATTGACGATTGCAGCATTATCTACAGTTACAGGACGAGCGATAGAGTCAATATATCCAAGCGTCAACGAAAACGACCGATACTATGAACTGCTAAACAACGTTTTTATTCCACGAAACAAACCATCATCATTATCCACAATGCCATTACGTATAATGTGGACAGGTCCTAAGCAAGGATCTGATCGTATGTGGGTACCGAATCATTTTGTTCCTTTACTTTCTGTTCGTCAATCGAACTCTTCAATCGAGACGATACCTACTATTGTAGGCATGGACAATGATGAGGATATGCACGTTGAATACGCTAAAGCTTCATCGCGAATAGTTTCACGAACAAATAATTCAAAAACAAACCATACAAGTCAAATCGAAGATGAAAAAGAAAACAATTCTGAAATAAGAAACGATATTTCCATCTTTGATAAAAGACAGATCTTTCTTGAAGCACCAGCAATTATTCAGCGTATGATTCAGGCTGTCAAAGAAGATGAAATATTTGAACTTCCTCCCAAGATAGTTACACATTCGTCTATGTTTAATGTAAAACTTACTAAAGAAAATCGACTATCTATTGGAAAAGATGGTAACGGGATATGGACGAAAATGAGATCAGTAAAAACTATGTTTATATTCAAGGAGCCCGATAAATATCAAATTGTACGTCAGGACGATAAGGGCACGCTATTCTATAACGAGAGGGTTGGTAATCATTATATTGCGTGTCCCGTTAACCCGAATCAAGTCATTACCATGCATCGGTAAGTAGACGATATTGACTGTTTTGTCATCCAGATTTGGGAACTTCTCGAATAGATATTATGCTACAAATGCAACAAACTCATCATTTCGTCGAATGATAGCTTATATAGACCAAATGTCGGTCGGAGATGATTCGAATAAGCTGAATCTTCCTATATTCTTACAATATGTAACTGGAAATCAGTATTCCACTGAAAATCTTCGACTAAAACCACATGGCAATGCAACAAAATTTGATCGTTCGTTTACATCTACTTTACCTTCAGTCCTTGGTCAAATTCAAGTAAATTTAACAGCAATCAACGATAATAATATCGATAGTAATTGTTTGTGTTCTTTGTATAAATAGGCGCAACCACGATTTCTTAAACCTTCAACTATATATAATGCTTCAATTCGTAATGTTGAAGAAGCTTCCCTACCTGCGATAACAACAGTTCGTGATCGTAAACAAGTATACAACGCTCGACAAAAAAACGAGTCAAGTGTTGAAGAATATATGTCTATTATGAGAAGACTTGAAGATACTAAAAGTACTGTTGCTCGTATTTCAATGAGTCGAGGAGAAGCACCAGTCTTACTGCTGTCTCAATCGCATATGATTAAAGAGTTAAAACGCTGTTGTCTTAATTCCTCAGAGCACATTCAATCATCAGTTTTGTGTAAGTATCAGTTCTTGTTCAACCATATCGAAATATCGAAATATTGATTTATATCTAGGCATTGATACGACATTTAATCTTGGTCGGTTTTTCGTCACCCCAATAGCATATCGAAATATAGCTGTTCAATATAGAAAAACTAAGAAAGCACCAATTTTTATCGGTCCCATAATGATCCATTATCGAGATGATACACAATCGTATCAGGAGCTCTTGACTTATGTACATCAAGAACTAAAAAACTGTGATACAGTTGTGATTGGAAGTGATGGTGCAAAAGCAATTAAAAAGGCAGTGGAGAATGTCTTTCCTCATTCAACTCATCTGTATTGTACACGACATGTGCGTCAGAATATTGAACGACAATTAATGAAGTACCGTACAACACTAGAAGAACGACGTGGTGTATTGGAACGTATTTTCGATTCTTCTGAATCTTTAATTCAATCAGAGACAGAGGAAGAATTTCAAGACAGATTATCAGAGTTATCTGAATACTGGAGAACAATACAAAATAGTGGTGAAACTCGTTCTAACGGGGTAACTGATTTTTTTCAATGGTTCAATCAATATCAAGTTAATATCTTTCGTAATCATTTGATTGCTGCAATCCGTATACCGATTAATTTTCTCGATAGAAATGGTTCCCCACGTTTATTCTATAATAACGATATTGAGTCAATGAATTACGCCTTTAAAAATCAAACAAATTGGGAACAACGATCATTATCCGAAATTATTGACATTCTATCAAATTTAATAACAGCGCAAAAAAATGAATCCATCAGGGCACTTTACGATTCTGGCGAACTAGAACTGGTTCCTCCTTTTTCGAGGTGAGTATCCTAGCTCCTTTTAGTAATTTATTCTGCAAATATTCGTAGATTTGTCTGTGATTCACACATATGGTCTGCTAAAACACTCACAGAACGTAACCAAACGATTGAAGATTACTACAACTATGTTCCTCCAGATTCGAAACCAAAACGTAACCTTAATATTTCTCAAAAAGCTGGGAGAAAACCAGGTCGATCTAAAGTTCGTGGTTCATCAACAACCACACGGAAGAAAAAATAACTCATAAAGAGCTTATTCATGTTATCGGTTTCATTTTTTGTCATAAGACAGTCTAACTTTCTTCTAATATTATAATCACGCCAAAATTAAATCGTGCTCTTTCAAGAGAAATTAAATAATGAATGCAAACACGTATCAGATGCATCTATATATTAAAATAGTTTAAGAATAGGTTCCAGTTTGTGCCGATTCCTATTCCTCCACATATAAGTATGATCCCTTCTTTGTAAACACCATCGTTAACAAGGATCAATAAGCAATATTTACACTGTTCTTTTTTAAAAGATCTCATTTTTTGTGTTTCTCTTATTTCAGAAAACTATGCTACAAAGGAAAAAAGCACGTAAGAAAAAAAGACAAGAATTTAGAAATACTATATAAACAGACACTAGAACCTCAGTTAGAAATAACATAATGAGTGCAGAAGATAATATTTAGAGTGAAAAGACAATAAATTGACGTATATGATCTGTGATTATTCCATCGAGTCGTTAATGCTGAATATAAATGAATGTCTCATTTAGACCTAACTATTTTTAAGGAAAAACTAAATATAAAAGTACGCTAGGTATTATTCTATTTCATATTAAGAAAAA